AAATTACAAACTAAATCACTTTATCCTTCAAACTCTTCTCCCAAATACTTTTCCCAACAACTTTTAGACATGATTTGACTTGCTACAGCACAAATTGTCTCATCTCAAAACCCCAAACAAATTTTATTTTATTTCAAATTCTTCTCCCAAAACATTTTTCTTCAGGATAAAATGAAAATGGAAGCCCAAAAGCTTACCAAACATAACCATAACGTCTACGTTCTGAGTTTAATTTCTCATGTCAAATACTTTCTAGATTCAGTTTGTCGCACAATGCTATATATGCACAATGCGAGTAACACAGCTCATGTGATTTGCAGGCTATTGCTTGCTCCATTTAAAAAATTAAATGATAATTTAAACATTTTAGTTATCCAAAACCGTTGGTATTTTTTAATTTCTAATAAGAGTGAAATTTCTTTTGGGAAAAATGAGTAAGAACATGGGACCTGAATTTGGCTTTACAAAAGGAAGAAAGGTCAACCTATCCTCAATTCTCTTCCCACCGGCCCTTTTTAAAGTACGCGCCCACAAGGAACAAACTTTTTAAAGTACGCACACCGCGGCGCAAGCTAGCAAGAGGCAGTCCTCCTCTGCTCTGCAGAAAAGCGGCTGAGCTGGCACAAGTGGAACTGTGGGCCGATGGGGACCAGGCCCAAATTGAAAAGGGCCCACATATTAAATGACGTGTAATTCTCTCATTGGCTGCTACTTGTATGAGTATAAAACGAAGAACATCTCTCGTATTGCGACTTGTGCCTTTGATTGCATATCTTTGACAAGTATTTCCTGCCCAATCTTTAATTACACTACCATAAAGCTCGTTTCGTATTTTCTTTTTCCCTCTTTTTTCTTATTATAAATACATATATCTATACATAATATATATTTTATTATTTTATTTATTTATTCCCCTTTTCATTTTTTTGTTTTTGTTTTTTGTCTTTTGCATTTTACTCGGGATTCTATTTGGTATCTTCTTGGATTGTCTTTTTTTCTAGATAAGAATATCAAATAATAATAATAATAATATTTTTTTTAAAATAATAATCTAAGTTGATTATTAGTGTAAATTAAGACAAATCAGCTAAGATAATATTAAATTCCCAAGTTATGTTACCACTTAACTATGTGAGCATATTTCCTCTTACTTCGAAATATGGAGAAAGCGAAGTTACAGTTACGAGTTAAATAGAGTTACTTTACGTTGAAGAATGACTAGAGTGAAGATGGAATAATCAATTATTATATATATTACGGCGAAAGTTAAATAACAGTACTATAAAGGAGTTCCGGTGTAATAATTTACTCAAAACACTATTATATTTGAATCTATGATATAATTTCATACCAAATGAAATGTTTTAAAAATAGGAACTATCGGACAATTATCATTAGTTCCCGATTTCTAATATAGGCGTACGTACGTGGGCAATTATCGGGCAAATTTGAGTAGCGTGTCGACTAGTATTAGTATTTGTAACGCAAACGCAATTACACTAGACTTTATTATAATTAATATGAGACAAGTGACAATGACTATAGGCAATATGAAATGAGTATAATCTGAATGAGCGCAATTGAAGACAGCACAATATTAAAGAAAAAGACATATTTGCGTCTGTATGCGGCAAATTGGGACTGTGAATATATAGAGAGATCCTAATATATATTATGATAGCCCATCACAATTCAGAATCTCTCTCTCTCTCTCTCTCTCTCTCTCTCTCTCTCTCTCTCTCTCTCTCTCTCTTTCTACAATTGAATATTGAGTATTGACCATGCATTAGAGCATCTTTCAACGTCATCACTATTTTTTCACCAAATCCTATTTTTGGTGGTGAAAAAATGGGTTTATCTTCCACCCTTAACACACCATTCTACGATTTCACTACTTTTGGTGAAAAAATAGTGTATTTAGTCTCCCACCAATTCCATCAAATTTTACACCAAATAATAAAATAATAATATTTCACCATTTTCCTATTTATAGAGAATAGCATTTGGTTTGTTCTCCCATGGTATTTCACCAAATATATCACAAAATTATAAATTTAATGTTAATCTTAATTTTAGTCTATTTTAATTTAAAAAATATTGATTATAGATCCGATTATAAGTAAAAAAATTATTAATTATATAATCTTAAAATTGTGATAAATTTCAAAAAAACTATGGAAACATGAATGAAAATCAACGTAAATTATTATACATATAATATCATCACACATAAACATAATTTCATAACTTAATGCATAAAAATATTACAACAAAGTTAATAAAAATAATTTCATAACTTAATGATAACTAAGTACTTTATGTGTATTTCATTTATATAATTTGTCTTGTAATTTTTTTTGTGACGTTATAATGTTATGTTTTAAGTGTTTTCTGATTATAAATATATTTATTGTTTAAACATATAACTTATTAGAGCCAAACATATATTTATTTATTAATAATAATAATAATAATTATTATAATTATAATTATAATAATAATAATAATAATAATAATAATAATTATTATTATTATTATTATTAATATTATTATTATTATATTATATTTTCTATTAATATACTAATATATTTTCTATAAATATATTTATATACTAATATATTTATATATTATCATATTCATTAATTAACACTAATATATTTTCTATAAATATGTTTATAAATTGGTAATCACATAAAATTATCTAATATAATAATTTTATATGCTAATTATAAAATGGTGTTAATTACACCAAATCCTATTTTAATTTCTATATTTGATAGGAAAAATAGGATTTGGTGGAAAAAATGGTAAAATGGTGGAAGGGTGGGAGATGCAAATTTCTTCACCAAAAAATTTGGTTGGTGAAAATATAGGATTTGGTAATATGGTGATATAGGTTTTGACCACAATGGGAGACTAAAACCAAATCATCATAATTTTAGGTGTAATGACGATTTAGTGATTTAGCCTGGAAAGTTAAAAACACCTAAATTAAATGTAAAAAATAGGAAATGGTGTAGGCTGGAAGATGCCCTTAATCTTTCTCTGCCTCATCAAATATTATCAGTCTTTGCCACAAAAGTCTGCACAAGAATCGCCTTTCAAAATTTCCATGTTTCTTACAGCTATATGTATCTATGCATATGTAGGTTTGATTTGACATCATCAATAACTAAAACCAGAATTTTAAAAAATAAATAAAAAAACAGCTAATAAAATGAAAGACAAGTTTTAGTCCTTCAGCTTGGCCACTTGGCCCAACCCAGGTGTGTCTGAATTTTTGAAATATTAACATAAGCTGTCATGCACTCATCGAGGTGTCGTTTATATGTATTTGATGAATTACAGAATTATATACATGTGATATGTATTTATTACTGTTACTCCCCCTGTCCCATATTATATGTCTTTTTAGAGAGTTTTTTTTGTCCCAAATTATTTGTCATTTTAGATTTTCAATGAAGTATTAATTGCATTATTTTCAATTTTACGCTTAATCACTCCAAATTAATTAGTTGAGAATCAATTAATGTCGAGGATATTTTAGTAATTGTATCTGTTTTTTTACTATGATCTATGCACATTTATTGATTTTCTTAATATGTGCAAAACAACCCAAAACGACATTTAAATTGGGACGGAGGGAGTAATATATAATTTATGGGATTAATTTATGAGCACCATTCCATCTAATGCTAAATTACGAAGAAAAAAAATCTATTTTATTTGCATGATTACACAAGTGAAAAACAAGAAGAGATTTTTCGTAATCAAGTGAACGAATAATTAGTTTGGAACTTTGGTTAATTTGTGGAGAATCGATGGATCTTATTATTAGGCTAGTTCGAGGACATTAGACCTAATTATAGATTCTTTCTATTTGGTCAAATTTATCTAATGACTTAGCTAACACATAAAATCATTATTTTTCATAATCAATTAGTCGTTTTCATAAATCTTTTCATAAAATGTAAAACCGGCGTTGATTAACGTGTTAGAACCGTCAATTTTATGGGTTAAGTGAATAGTTATGTAAATAATGATTACTACACCCAATGAAATACGTGGAGAGGAAAAATAATGAAAAAAATACACACCTTTATATATATTTATTCACGTAGATTAACGATGTAAAACTACATTTACATCTCATAAACATGGAGAGGAAAAATCCTAAATGAAGCCGTACACGCCTCATCATGCTAATGGTTACTCCGAGTCAACAGTTGACTAAACTAACAAAATCGTTGACCAAGAATGGGCCAATTCCAATTTGGGTTTAATTTGTCTCTACACTAGCCATAAAAAAAGCCCACAACATTTACATTTCTAATTTAAATCACCAACTATAAATTAATTAGAAATATTTTACCTATTTTGAATATTCCAGAAAATTCAACCATAGAAAGACAACTTGGGGGTGCTCTTTTTGGGGGCAACACTTAACTTATTACAGAGGAACATATGACAAAAGCACAATTAATAAATTCTTGGCTCATGTATAAGTAGGTCATATATTTTTTCTGGCATTTCTGCGAGGTACATACAACATATACACATATATTTATGCGTATATATATATATATATATATACATGGTTTAAAAAGAAAAGCTAAAGATTTTCTGATGCATGAGCAGTTTAATTAACTTGGTATTTTTGTCCAAATATATGTCACCTCTGGAATTCACAGCTCATCATAGGACCACTTTGGTGTTTTTATTTTTTATGTAATATCAATTGTAACTGTCATTTAATAAAGTTCTTGTAATTTGAGCCTTTCACACACACACACACACACACCAAAGGGTAAAAACTCTCTCTCTCTCTCTCTCTCTCTCTCTCTCTCTCTCTCTCTCTCTCTCTCTCTCTCTCTCTCTCTCTCCCTCTCTGTGTGTGAGTTCTTTTTTAGTGTATATATGGTATGCAAGTTGGAAGGCAAGTGGCAGAGATTTGCAGGAATATCTTTTAAGGGAAAGTTTGATGATTATATGAAGATATGGGAGAGACAATATGTAGCAAATAATAGGTTTTTATGTATGGATGCTTAGATAATACAAAATATTTTAAGAAAATAAATAATTAATGTTCAGTATTTTGTAACAAGAAATATATATATATTTGTTTTTAGGGTTTTTGTAAACCCTAAAGTGATGATTCAAATAAGGGGTGTTTGGCTAATTTTATTTCATTTTAAACAAATAAAAACGATGCAAATAATGTTTAAGAAACCCGTTTTCTTGAAAATAAAATCAAACGTCGGAATTAAAGAAAACCGCTATATAATTTTCTTTTCTAGACTAGTTTGAGATATATTATTAGATGATATCATGTAAAAAAAAAGTGCGAATAAGCTCATGATAAGAGCACTAATTTTTTTGTCTTGCAGATATATCCATCGAATCAATACTTACTTGCATGTAAATAAATATCCTCTCGTATATACCAAAATTACCCCCAACTAATTGAAACCCTAATCTCATAATTTAATTCTAATTCACATCAATTTCATGATATAAACCCTAATTTAGTCTCAATTTCACCAATTAATCAATGTTGAGCCCAATTTTACTGCTGTTGACCACCAGTCAGCCGCTGTTGATGCGGTTAACGTGTGATGTGTGTTAAGTTCGAATAATATGAATGAAATATGAGGTAAATTATATATTTTGATGGGTATCTTAGGCAAACGACAAGAGAACGGACTTTCTCCTACGACTGATTTTGATCTCGATAGAAGTGAAAATAAGTTCTCCTTATTGGAGATATATATGCAATTCGCCCTAAAAATGAAAAATACCGGAAGCTAACAAATCATATTGAATAAAATTTAAATGAAATTAAAATAGAATAAAAAAAATAATAAAAATAGGGGGAGTAGTTATTAGCAAGTGAGTATAGATTTACTAAAAATGGGCAAAGAGACAAAGACACGAGTAAAGGGTCCCAAAGAACATCACCTCACCTGGACAATATTATTTCTTCCTTTTCTGGAACTGGATATCATACTTTATTTCCTCTTCTTTAATTACATTTGGTATTTTTTTTTTAAATTTATACAATAAATTATTTCTTCTATTTTTAGATTTTCAACTTTTACGGTATCTATTTTAATCAAAATTTGATCGATTTTCGTCGATTTTGATCCGAATATTTTCGAATTTGGAATAATATATTTCAATCCAAATTTCGAAATTATTTGGATGGAAATTGGAATATGTATGAGACTTGGTTTCTGATCCGATTTATGTTCCGAAAATGATTCCAAAAATTCCGATTTTTCTCTGAACATTACACTTAAATATGAGCACTATTACGTATTTCCTTTTTTAGGTGACAAAAAGTTGAAAATTTCCGAGTTCCGTCAATTTCGCCTGATATTTTTCGATTTTGGAACAATTTTTTCGTTTCAATTTCCAAATATCTGATTTTTTTTGGACCGGAATTATAATTAGTTTTTCACTTCCGAACAAAATCGGGATTTGTTTCGAGAGGGCTAAATCTGATCCGATCCGATCCGTCCAATTTACACCCCTATGTCCATTACTCCATACTCAAGTTTATCTAGCTGTTTTTAATTAATTGTTGTTTTATGTTATCTGTCATTTTAGAATTTCAGTAATGATTTAATTGTAATTTTCTCAAATTTTCTCTTATCAATTTTAATTAGTTGTGAGAAAATTAATGGAATAAAATGAATGAGATGAGTAATTTACTCACATTATATGATTTTTTCTTGAACCCGTGTATATATATTAATTTTTTTGACACATGCACGTCAATTCAAAACAAACGCTTACTATAAAAAATTAATACATCGTATTAAGAAAATTAATAAATATGTACAAAAATTAAGTAAAATATACATCGCTCTAATTCTCCCTATCAATGTCTAAAATAAAATTTGATAAGTAACGAGGGCAAATTAGGAAAAGAACAATCATGAAAACATCATTTCAAATTTACCGTGACAAATAATATGACAAATTGAAGGTAGGCAAATCTGTTTTGATTAAGCACGTGGGATGTTTATTAATAAGCTAACCTGGGTTCATTCCATTTCATTCTTTTACCTAATTCATTACTTCGCAAGTCACGTGACCGTCGCACGTGCCTCCATTCAGACAAAATATTTACCCCAACCACAAACTACGTACGGCACCAAGCACATAAATAACGTGCTGCCGGCCGGCCGGCCAATGGTGTAATAACTCCATTTCCTTCCGTCGCCGGAAAGGAATCGAGATAAAAAAAATAAAAAAAATTCACACCAATTAATATTTATTTTACCACAAAATTTATTTATATTAATTAATAATAAGGCACAAATTTTACATAAATACGACATGGCTGAAAAGATTAATACAACTAAATAGGAAATATATATATATATATATATAATATAATATTAAAATAAAATAAAATACGTCCACTCTCAAAACTTGCGAAAATCAGCAAAATTATAGCCGATTTTCATATAATATCCTAATAATAAAATAACTCTCTCAGAGGGCAACAAGAGGATCCGACCCGAATAAGTCACAGCAGTCTTGAAAGAAATCATCCGTTTGCCAAGAGGGTGACCCGAATCCGAAATCCGTACTTGACCCGATAAGCATATCGTTGCTGCAGTAGTAATCGAACCCGAATATGTTGTCCGAGAAACCCGTTTCCGCAAACAAATCGGGTACCGGAACCGAGTTCAACTCGGTGAACAAATCGTCATTCGGAGGAAATATTGGGAAGTCTGAGAGACTCCGGTCGTCGCTCTCCTTTCCGGCGACGGCGTTGTCGGAGGAGGGGAAGAAGACGGAGGACGACTCGGCTTCGGCTTCGGCTTCGACTTCAGTCTCGGCTTGGGAGTCAGCCGCCGAGACGAAACGGAGGACGGACTTGGGAGACTTGGCATTGTTGTGGGACTCCTCGTCGGAGTTGTACTCGGAGCTTGTTTTGTTGTCCTTTGAAGGTGGGTTGGAAAAGTTAGTGAGCGCGTCGGGTCCACGCAGCTGGATGGCCGCGTGGTCGTAGACCATAGCAGCTTCCTCCGCCGTCTCGTAGGTGCCGAGCCACAGCCGCACACGGCGCTGGGGATCTCGAATCTCCGCCGCCCACTTCCCCCACGGCCTCTGGCGCACGCCGCGGAACTTCTTAACGGTGACGGACTTGGGCACCTTGCTCTCCGCTTTCCCACCGCCGCCGCTCTTCTTCCTCTTCAGCAGGCTCACCGACGACGGGCGGCTGCTCTTCGCCGCGGCGGCGGCGCTGGCGCTTGTCGTGGCAACAGCTCCTCCGCCGTCTTTGGTGCAGGGCTGGATTCTGACCTCGTTGATGAACCTCCTGACTCTCTGGCGTTTGCCGGAAAAAGCATCCTCCTCGTCGCCGGAGGAATCTGTGGCGTCGCCGTCGGTAACGGATATCCGTACAGTCCTGGCTGGTATTTCCGCCGGAAAAAAGCTTTTTCTACCGGAAATGGAATATTCCGGCCTGGCAACAACTGTGGTGTGGCTTACGTGTTCAGTGTATTTGACCCTTGTTCCGGACAACATGATTCTTTCTCGTTGATTTCTTAGCTTATGTTCTCAGATTCGCATTGAAAGCGAAAAGGAAGGGGGAATATATGTAAGAGCGAGCGTGAAAGAAGGCCGAAATAAAGAGAGATTCTCAAAGAATAAAGAGAGAGAAAGCAGAGCAACGTTAAAGAGACACACAGAGGAAAAAGGAAATAAAAATCTCGGATAAAGAAGAGAGATAAAGCGAACCAGAGAGAGAGAGAGAGATTAGCGAGAGAAAGTAAACAAAGGGAGGAGACAAAGCAGTCGGAAAACCAGTTGCAGAAGCCGAAAAAAAGAAATCAAAACCGGGTATCGATGAACAGAGAGTAAAAAAAACCCAGATGGAAACTTGGATTCTTTTCTTATGGGGAGGAGGGAGAGACTGAAGTGAGTGAGTTGGGTGGTGGTGGTGTTTATATCTTTTTCAGAAGAGAGAGAAAGTAGTAGAGAAGAGAAGAGAGAGAAAGTGTTGCTTTGGGGTAGTACACTACAGAGGAGGATGAGCGAGAAAGTGTTTTGTGTGTTTTAGAGAGAGAGAGAGAGAGAGAGAAATGGTGAAGACCGAATAATGAGTTCTGAATCCCACTCTTTTATAGGGTCCGATTTGCTCAAACACAAAATACTGAGGACTAATCACTAAAATATCTACAAAAGTTTTCATTTATTTTCTTTTCTATAAATTCCCACTTTTTTTTTTTTTTTTTCTTTTCTGAAAGCGTTTAATTAATTAAAATCGGTATAATTATCATCATTATATTTGGGATTATTTCGTTTTAAACGAGCCGCCGTATCTAATGGGCACCTGGGTGATTGACACGTGTACCAATTGGACCCATATCACGGGCGAGGGTAAATTTGAATATAGCCACACCAATCTATTTTTTTTTAGAATAATCAATTTTTTTACCATTTCTATACATAAAAAAAACTTAAATATTCATTTTATTACAATAATACTCATATTTTATTTAAAATTATCGACATACATTAAGATAAAAATATATCAATGATGAAAGTATTGGAGATATTAATATTATATGATACATTTCACTAACAGCTTAAGCTTTTGGTAGAGATGGTCATTCAACATGGTATCAGAGCCAGGCCAAATGAAAGGTCCTGAGTTCGAATCCCACAGCCACCCATTTAAAAATATTTCAAGTGCAAGGCTTCAAATGTAATTCGCCTGCACTTGAGGGGGCGTATTGGAGATATTAATATTATATGATACATTTCACTAACAGCTTAAGCTTTTGGTAGAGATGGTCATTCAACAGAAAGAACATTTGAACTTAGGATTTTTACTGCAGTAAAAAATATATTATTTACATTTAAAGTTTAAACTATTTCACTATCTTGAAATATGTGTATGAGTTGTTTAATTTTATTAAAAAATAAAATAAATATGTTTATGAGTTTGTCACGTGACATGGAGGGGACGGTTCCGTTAAATTGGTCAGTCAAATGACCGACCGAGTGCTATGCTTCTTGCTCAATCTTTGACTGAGAAGATTTTTTATTTTATTATTATTATTTTTTTTAATTTTAACTGCGCGTGGTTAATAATTAGGTCGTAATTAGCTTTTTCCTAATCATTCTGTTAGAGTACACTAATGAAGGGGCTTTCTAGTCATTTTGTTTTGAGATTTTGGCGCCTATATTTTGTGGATGATGACTGCTGACTCATCCAGTTTTTACCTTTTCTCACAAGAAACACGTTATTTATTATCTTTTGTTATTTATTTATGTTTTACATTTTATTTCTATAATATATCAATAAAATCACCAATTTCTAAATCAACATTTATTATTGAAATAAGATATATAATCATATTATATTTGATAGTATAACCTTTCAACCACCATGCTACTTTATATACTACAGTTAGGGGTGAAAGTCGGATGGATCGGATCGGAATTAGCCTTTTTGGAAAATTTCCAAAAAGTTTCGGAAGTACAAAATCAATTCCGATTCCAATTCCAAAATTTTCGGAATCTAAAAATTCATTCCAATTCCAAAAGACCCGGAAATTTCGGAATTTCGGAAAAAAAATCGGAAATCACATAAGCTTAAAATTTTCAAAATTAGCGATTTTTTTTTTAAAATGTTCACAATTTTCTAAAAATAAGAACGTCCACGTCGATAAAAGTAAAACTAACAACTTCTAAATTTTAGTTCAAAAAATAAACAAAAATGAACACAACATAATATCTAATACAACTTCTAACAACAATTCATCATGTCAAAATCCTAAAACAAAATTTATAGATGTATTTTATCGAAAAATAAATATTATACAATATTTATTATTTATAGGTGTATTTTCGGAAAAATATCGGAATTTTTCAGAATTAATTTCGGAAATCAAATCGGATCGGAAATCGGAAATTCCAAATAAATTTATATAATTCCAATTCCAATCCAAAAAAATCGGAAAAATTCGGAAACCGGAATTTCGGAAGTCGGAATGAAAAAGGTTGTTCCAAAATCGGAAATTTTCGGATCGGAACCGGCGGAAATTGGAATTTCCGTTCCAACTTGCACCCCTAAATTAATAACTGCGTTTAAATAATAATTTTTTCTGGTCTCAACTAACTGAAACATATTTACTTAGGAAAAATTAAAAAAAAAACGTCACACGAAATTGTAAATTGTTGTAACAAGGGAATTAATTAAATCTCACACTATATGCATGACTCATTTATGTAATAAATAAATACTATATTGGAAACATCTAAATGTCAGCTATTGAAAATGAAAGAACATAAAGGCTTCACTATTTATTGCGAACCTATAGCATTTACATTTTTTTACATAATAATAAGTAATAAATTTAATTATATAATAGTAATATGTAAATACATATATAAGTGAAAGGTCGAGAAATGAATGTTGAACTTCACTCTTTAGGTGTTCACAATTATTACATGAGTTAATGTTTTTAGAGTTCACAATTAATATCTACAGTCATAAGCATTTAGTATGCACCAAGATTTTGGGTGTCTTCCATCAATGATTATTTCAACTTGTGGTAATAATAGTTGATTTGGTAAAATCTCGTTAATTTAATACTCAATTAATTAATAATATAATTTTAATAATATTTTTTACCCATCCCTAATTTATTAATTTATAGAAGTTTAGCTGTGTTGCATTTTCTATTTGTCTAAGACTTTCATGTAAAGTGTAAGTACCACAATAATAAGTATTTCCAAATATAAAATATGCTACATACATAGTGTAGAATAATGTAAAATACCATGTAAGATATATAAAATTACGGCCGGGCATGAATCAATTTTATCGCCCAATGACTCACTTATGATCCATTTTTTTGCCGATAATCAATAATTACCGACGCATATAATTGTGGAGGTAAATTTAACGATCCATATATAAATGGGTCGGTCGGTATTTTTCAGTTTACTCAAAAGTCGATTGGTCACGTAATATTGATCAACCGACTTTATTAATAATTTTTTTATTATAAATATTTAATCATAATTCTTATTTTCTTAACGTTAAAATAGTATATAAAAGAAGTTAAAACTCAAAAACAATAGCACAAGATTCAAACTCATTATCCGGCCCATAATGGTTGCGGTTTTTTCAGTTTTCTGTAAAACTGGGTGGTCGGTCGGTTAGGTAATTGACCGATAATTATCCGACCCGACACATGCCCAACCCTATATAAAATTGTAATAGAAGATTCAAACTCGGAATAGAAAAATATATTTCATTTTATAGTTGAACATATTAAATAAGGAATGTGAGAAAAAAAATTAGAAACTAATCTACTAAATAAAACGAATATATATATATTATACATGAGCGACAGCAAAATTGCAAGAAACATGTCTCAGTATACGGAGCAGTGGAAACAAATTTCAAGGGGTAGAACAGTAAATTTGTGTTAATTATAGAAATAAATATGGGCCGGCCCAAGGATATCGGGTCGGTTTAGACTCAATGTATCAAACAAAAGAAGCCGCCTTTACCTTTCTTCGGCCGATATTTACAATTTGATTGAATTAAATAATCAAACATTTTTAAATAATCATAAAAAAATAATTAAATAATCATCTGTATGACGACTTGTTCTATATTTACGATGTTTTGAAAACTTGACGGGAGGTTGACTCGGAAAAGCTATTAGATTATGTTTGGACCAGTTCAATCGGAATCCAATCGGTGTTTTTACTTTTATTTTATAACTAGCATTTTTCCCCGTGCGATGCACGGGATATTATTTCAAAAGTGAAAAAAATTTATTCAATTTAATAAATAATAAGAAAATATCGTACACTAACATAGTCAAATTTAATAATGTAGCAGTAGTATTATTCATATTTTATATAACATTGTTTTTTTTTTTAATCTGGCATATTAAAATTTATAATCCAAATATATAGATTAAGATTTAAAAAATTGTATTTCTATCTTTATCTCTTAAGATTTGAGATATATTGATGAAAAATCAGAGATTGATAATTGTTAAAAATTATAGTTAGAAATTAGTAGAGAAAACATATTAAAAATAAATAATTACAAAAATACCATTAGAATTTTTTAGGGTTGTCCAGCGTTTCTTTCTTTTATATATAAGATTATTTATACATAATTTATATAGTAAAGAAATTATATTTTCTTTCACACCCATTAACTAATTACTCATTTTCAATTAAAGCCTAAATCAAAGTTATTATTCTTTTACAGTCGCAATATATCAACACACATGTCACACATAATCATTTCAAATATTATAGAAATTATAATTAAAAAAAATATGTCTTCCAATTTCAAAAAAAACATATTATGATTTTTTTTCTTCAGTTGTGCAGTTAAAAAAACTTCGTTTCGGCCATTTGATTTTTTTATTTGATTAAAAAACACAATTTTGAGCTAAGAACCTGATTATCTGTCAGGACCGGACAAAGTAATGGGTTACGATTTAATCGATTCAACCGGCCGGTTTGATTCGAGTTTCAAAACACCGCTATTTATGCAATATATACGGACTACTATTATTAAAAGTTGACAAAATTGTAGGTTACTATCTTTAGTAACTAAGCACACTTGCTACATTATTTCACAACTCTATAATTCACATAGCCGTAATATTTTCTTGGGTTGATATCAAATAATTGCTTCATCGCAATAAAGTTTATTTAATTTCAATGATTTACCATATATTGTGGTTGGTTAATTGAAACCGTGTATCAAAATATCGAATATTGTGATCCACTCATTTCAAATTAATTAATGTTTTGAATTATTAAATTAAATGTTTCATATTATATTTGTTTATTTAAGAATTTTACAAGCACAATAAGAAATTTAATACAGAATATATATATATATATATATATATATAATTCATAGATGCCAAATTATGTCTTTATACATGTCCTATTTCACAAGAACTAAATACTGCCAAATTGTAACATGAAAAAGCTATATAATTGAATTAATCATTAAATTTGATTTCCACTCATTCAGGAGCAAATAATAAATAAATAAACACTGTTTATCCAAACAAAGTTGCATAATAAGTTGATTAACAAAATTGTCTTTATGTATTAAAGGGCCTTTATTTTTCTATTATAATATTTAAATGTTCTTCATTACAGGTTATCACGTTTTCGTTAGGTGTTGTTTGGTTGGTCTACGTTATGCAAAAGCACTTAATTAAATCTTATTAGGTGTCAAGGAATGATTAGTTGTTAAGCTCTAATCATTTAATTATAATTAATTTGTCTTAAATTGAGAATTATGAAAAAAACAAATAGAAAAACTCTAATCATATGCCGATT